TGTGAGAAAGAGGCAGGGAGAACTCTGAGTTCGAGATCAGCCTGGTCTACAGAGTGAGTTCCAGGACTACACAGTTAAAACCCTGTCTCAAAAAAACCCCAAACCCAACCAACCAACCAACCAAATACATAAAAAATTGAGCACCTCATCCTAACACAGGGCTTCTCCTTGTATCTTTATAGACTGCCGTTTTCCTATGTGCCACCTCTGTCTCCTCTCTATCCAGAGGCAGTCCTTTGTCCCCCTCGGGACATTTTCCCGATGCTGGGGGCAGGGTGTAGCTCAGTGGTTGAGAACTTGACCAGCATGCATGAAGTCCTAGGTTCAATTCCCTATCTTGGGAAAAGGTAAAATACATTTTCTTCAGGCTTATGTCTATCTTAACTTGTAAATGTAATATAACACACACACACACACACACACACACACACACACACACACCAACCAGTAACTATTTTTTGTGGTGCTGGGGATGCAATTTAGGGCCTCCTGCATGATAGCCCACTCACTCTACTGTTGAACAATATCCCCAGCCCAGCCCCTCACTGGGGGATTCTAGGCAGGGGCTCTACCACTGAGCCTTCCTTCCTTCCTTCCTTCCTTCCTTCCTTCCTTCCTTCCTTCCTCCCTCCCTCTCTCCCTCCCTCCCTTCTTCCCTCCCTTCTTTCCTTCTTTCCTTCCTTCCTCTCTGCCTTCTTTCCTTCCTTCCTTTTTTGTTTTTTTTTGGGGGGGGATAGGGTTTCTCTGTGTAGCCCTGGCTGTCTAGAATGCACTCTGTAGACCAGGGCTGGCTTGAACTCTGCCTGCCTCTGCCTTCCAAGTGTGGGATTAAATGTGTGTAGACCACCCTTCCCAGTTTCTCTTCTCCTTTTCTTATTTATTTATTTATTTATTTATTTATTTATTTATTTATTTATGACAGGGTTTCTCTGTGTAGCTTTGGAGCCTATCCCGGCACTCGCTCTGGAGACCAGGCTGGCCTCGAACTCACAGAGATACGTCTGCCTCTGCCTCTGCCTCCCGGGTGCTGGGATTAATGGCAGATGCCACCACCTCCTGCTGGCTTTCTTTTTGTTTTTTGACAGAGGATCTTTCTACCACTGCCTGTCCTGGGTCTTGCAGCTACCTTGCTAGGCTTCAAGCCTGACTTGTCTATTTTTTGTTTGTTTGTTTTTCGAGGCAGGGTTTCTCTGTGTAGCTTTGGAGCCTATCCTGGCACTTGCTTTGTTGACCAGCCTGGTCTCGAACTCACAGAGATCCGCCTGCCTCTGCCTCCCGAGTGCTGGGATTAAAGGCGTGGGCCACCAACGCCTGGCTCTTATTCATTTATTTTAAAATATATTTCAGCTTTTAACTTCAAACATGACAATATTCATTACCTTGCCGATCAAAAACTTTTGGAGTCTCATAAAAGTACAAAGAAACTGGCCAAAAGTATGCAAAAAAGTGCTGAGCTGTGTGGAATTTAGCTGCCCTGGCAAACCCCACACGTGCTGGGAATGTATTCGCTCCCCAAACCACGCGTGTCCTCAAACACACACACTACTCCCAGAGTCACAAACCTGTAGACACATGCTCCATTTCGGGGTGTGGGGGGGGGAGGATGTCTGTGTCCCATCTGTGACCCGGAAGGTCTTGCTGCAAGCTGCTGAGCTTGTTCCGGATGCTGGCAGCTGGGTGTTTCAGCCCAGGCTCCAAAGGAAAGGTTTGAGGAATCCCCAGGGAGGGAAGAGGGCAGGGCTGGCAAAGCGGAAGGTGGGCGTCCTACCCATCGCACCCTTCCCATCTTAGGCTGACACGTGTGCCAGCGAGCGAGCGAGCAAGGCCCCGGGCCGGGAGGAGCTGGGGCTTAAATCCAGTTTCCCCAGGTCTGTGCTTCGGGCCTCCTGCTGGCCGGATTGTGCAGCAAGGTCTCCGCGTGGATGAGGCCCAGCAGGGTAAGAAGAGCAGGATGGGAGATGGCCTGAAAAGCCATGGGACATCTCCCCACTCCTCCGAGTCTGGCTCTCCCTATATACAGCTCTGGCTAGCCTGGAACTCAGACCGGGCTGGTCTCACACCTACAGAGGCTCCTCCCGGGCTGGGATTAAGGGCGTGCGCCGCCACGTCTGTGAGATTCATGCGAAATTTCAAAGGTATCGCTGGCAGGATTGGCTGGGGGGTGGGGCTGGGTGTGGCAGAAAGAGAAGAACCGGGGACCAGTGACACCTGGGAAGTTTTTAAGGCCTCCTGCTTGGGAGGAGGCGGTTTGGTAGTGTGGCCCAAGTTCCATTTGGGATCGCCAGAGGGCGCCCGAAGGCCACAGACCTGCTACCAGGAGTCTCCTTCCAAACCTTCAAGAGGCTTGTTTCTGCCGTGCGTGCGTGCGTGGTGTGTCAGGCCAGCTAGTCCGAGCTTCTGGCCCATTCCCTGCCTCTGCCTGGCTTCTCGGGGTAGTATCGCCGGGATTACGGCTGTGGGGCCGTTGCATTTGGCTGTGGACACGGGTTCTAGGGACCAGGGTTTCGGGCTTGCACGCCTGGCAAGCCTGCAGAGATTGATTGGAGGTGTGCTCCGCCACACTTGTATTCCGTCCTGGCGCTCGAACCCAGGGCCTCATGCACACAAGCGTTCTAGCATCTGAGCCGGCATGTAAGCAAGGCCCCTAGACTTGCTGTCGCGTTGAGACAGGAGCTCACTATGTAACCCTGGCTGGCCTTGAACTCACAGAAATCCACCTGCCTCTGCCTCCCAGGTGACAGGATTACAGTTGTGTGTCACCACAGTCAAATTTATTTTTTTTTAAACAAAATTACTTAATTTTATGCGTGTGGGTGTTCTGTGAACCATTTGCATGCCCTTGGAGCCCAGAAGAGGGCATTGTGTCACCGTGCGGATGCTGGGAATCCAACCTGGGTCCTCTCGAAGAGCAGCCAGTTCTCCGAACCGCTGA